CCATCCTCAACATCAACATCCTCACCAACCTCCGGTGTCGCAGGGTCGTAGCCACATGCAACACGAGCCTCGCACGCCTTTGCCTTAGCATCGTTAAAGGCAGCCTCAGGAACACTCTCAACTTCCCACAAACCCTTGTAGATATCTCATTGGGCCTAGGCATAGACCCATAGCTCGTACAAGAGGCAGGGAGCGGCGGCAGAAGCAAATTCAACCTGAGCCAGCAGTTGCGCCTTCTCAACCTCGAGAGTCGCGACCCTGTCTCCCAAGTTTGAAGCTTCCCGATCAATTTCGCTGAAGCGCTCCTCAAAACTCGCCTCCCTCATCGTGGTCGTCGCCCTCTCGAATTCCTGCTCAGATCTAAGGACGCGGATAATGTCTTCTAATGTTGCAGCCCTTGCCAAAGCCGACACTCGAGCATCCTCGGCTTGCTCCAACTCGGCCACTTTCTTTTCCAAGTCGGCCACCTTCTCCGCCCATTCTACACTGAGAGCGTTGACCTTAGCAGCATTTTGTTCGAGCTCAGCTTACAATGATAGCACCTTGGCCTGAAGGTCCTCGCACTCCGCGACGACCCTTTTGCCCACCTCGAGCTTCTCGTTCTTGGCATGAAGTAGCTCTTCGAGCTCACTACACCTGCGGATAGACCGCATCAGGTTCTCATCTCTTTTATCCAATTCCTTCCTGGTGGACTGGGTACCGGTGCCCACTCTAAGCCACTCACGCAGCTCACGTCATCTGTTATGATACCGCTGATACTTCTCGGCCATTTTCAGAAAAATCTCAGCCCGCTTCTCAGCCCTACGAGCGCTTTCGATCTCCAGCAAGTAATCTGCAAAAAGGGGAGTAAAGAATCAGTAAAGATAAAGGGTCGCAAAACAAAGAAGACAAAAGGGAACTTACCCTTAAGCCCATTGCGGCTACACCACGTGACAACTGAGAATCGCTGACCTCCTAGAGGGCCCCGCTCTCAGCGGTGGAGCAGAGAAGATCAAACTGCAAATCCACCGTATCCTGCAACAGGTTGAGATCCAATGAAATTTTAAGTATGTGAGAGGGGCCTTCCGCCATTACCACAGTCCTGATAAAGCCCTCCTTGAACATCCTCATGTCATCAGGGTCGATGTTGGATTCAGTCTCATAATCCTCAACCATGACGCCCTTCCCTTTCTCTTCGACCGAAGAAGGAGCGCGGTTCTGCCGGGATGATAATGGTCTACTCAGAACAACTACGGCAGACTCAGGAATCCGTACCTCCGCTGTACTATCCTCTTGAGCGCTTGCAATCAGCGTCGCCTCCGCTTCCTAGTTAGCCCCACTGCCGGTTTCAGGAACCATGCCCCCGAGGACGTTTCGGCAACAGAAACCCCTTCCAACACTACCCTCTGTCTCTTCGATGGGGCCTCCCCACTACTAGCACGGGAAGATTCACCTGTGGAACGGACTGCGGGAGTCAGAATCTCCGGCTGAGTAACCTCTGAGCGCACAACTTTGGCCGCTGGTGCAGGCCGGACTGTAGCATCCCTCAGCGCAGGATGGGTAGAGGGCACCGTTTGACGAAATGCGAGCGGAGGAGCCCTCGTCCTCCTCACTACTCCCCGACCTGTCAATAAAGAGGAATTAGATCGTACAACGACAAAGTTTAAAAAAAAACTATGAAGTAGGGAACAGATTAAAACTACAACAAGCCAATTCACCAGTAAAAGGCTTGCACCCAAACTTCTCATAGAAGGGCGCCCACTCACAAATTCCCACCGTGTGGGGGAGAATTACGCTCACCCACTCGCGGATATCGGCAAACAGTGGGGAGGTAATCTCTCAGCTTCAAAGGCAAAACAAGTACTTAGTGATGTCTCCTAAATGAAGACGATCGATAGCTGTTTTAAGAAAAATCACAAAATAAACAAAGGAAAACTCACGAGCAAAGTTCCACGTCTCCGGAAACCTTGCGAGTTCCCCACAAGGTGATTTGTCCGCACATAGAAGTAGCTTTCCAAAAAACGTCGATTGGCCTTATCGTCCATCTTCACCACCAAACTCTTGGTTCCTCGATGGCGCATACGGATCATCGTACCCAGAAGAAAATGAGGGGAAATGATGTGGAGCATGTGCCCTAAGGAAATTCCTCAGCCAACCAGTTCCGCGTACTTGATGAGCATAAGAAAGAGCTTGTACGCATATGGAGAGAGTTGAGCCGGGCACACTTCATAGAAGCAGCAAAATTCCACTACCAAAGAAGGAAGGGGAAGCGTGTACCCGACAACGAAGGGGTACGCGTAAAACGCGCAGTACGCCGGGCGGTGAAAATGCACAATATCCTTCCCCGCCGGAACCATTTCGATGTGAGTAGGGATCCCCCACTTAGCTTTGAGCGCCATGATCGTCGCCTCATCCATGGTGGAAGGAACGGGCTCCGGCTCACTTCATGAAGGGTTGTAAAAATCAGTCCTCGCCTTCCCCGGACGAGAAACTATCTCATCCACCATTGGAAATCCCTCATCTTCCACCACCTCCACTCCCTCATCGAGTAGGGATACGTCATTTTCCTGCACCGTAGCACCAACGGCTCTATCGGATTGGGAAAAAGTACTAGCCATTTGTCTTTCTTGATCGGAATAGACAAGAACGGTGTAGGAAAAGAGATGATGGTCAAGTCGAATTCTATCGAAAGCAGAAATATGAAAGACTAGGGGAGGAGTAAGTTTTCCAAGTTCTTTCTCAGATAAATTGAAAAGCACAACAATCAAATAAGGGATTCTCCCTATTTATAGGGACATAAATGTCCTGGGCGGGAAACCCAAGAGCCGCCAATCAAAAAATTGAAAGGGAACGGGAAAAGATACGGTGCCTGTGAAACATGTGCCATAATGACGCATAATAGGTATTCATATTCCTTAAATCGATGTGACGATCCAACTCTGAACTGACGTAATGATCTAATGAAATCCCTGAAGCGTCATGTCGCCACCTCGCCGTAAGGACCTCGTTCCTCGCACAATATTTAGATTTCTCCTAACTTTTGAATCCACAGAATCCGCCCATTGAGATCGCCAAAAGGTGACCCCAACAGGCGGAGGGACTAATTGTATGGGTCAAAATCTGACCACAAGAAGGTTATCATTAAAAGAAATGGCAAGGGGTCGACCAGGCCATAGTCGTCCCACAGGCGTAATAACAACGAATATCTCAGTCACTACCGAGATCGAGCCATCAGAAAGCTTACTCAGCAGAACATATGTTGTAATACTTGGGCGAGTAAGGAAGAATATAGTCATGAGAGGGTACGCTGGTTAAAGACCGTTAGATAAAGGAAAAATTAGTAATATATATATATATATATACGGGAAGAAAGCAAGGGCAAAGGGGATCCGGGATTTCACAACTCTCGAATTTTGGTCCCCTGTAGGAAGAAACCTCCAATAACAAACCAAAAGCCTAGATTTTGGTTACAACCTCTTGCAATCATCATTGTTGACTCAATAAAGAGAGATCCCATAGTTATAAACAACTTCTCCTCTTTTCCTTCTTTGCTCTTACAAGTACGGAACAATGTATGAAAGATGTAAGCTTATCATTTACATTTAATGTCTATTAATCATTTTAAGGAACGTTATATGAGCTCAATCTTTTTCGCCTCTCATATTCAATATGCTTAGATCTAGAGTTAATTATGGTTTATTAAGATTTACTTTTTATTTCTTTATTAATTGATTTAACTAAAAGGTTTAACACTTTTTGATCAAACAAGTACCTCGATAGATGTTGAATTGTATCACTTCAAATGTTCCGCTAGCTCTTCTTGTAGAAGCAAACCCTTTACAAGTCACACTTTTGCTCTGATCAAACAATCGCTTAAAGCTATTGTTGTTGAAGTGGAATGCTTAAACTCTAATATCAATTAGGGATTAATTTTTTAAATATTGAAATCAAATCAAATAAGTTAAATAGGTTTGTTTTGTCGATTTTTGTTAACTTTTCGTTTTCGGATTTTTTTCCAACCCCCCTTCCCCTTCCAAAAAAAAATATATATGTGACATACATTGCCAATCACGTATTTTAGTAGCTATATACCAGCATAACATTACCAAGTCAATCACTCTTTAAGACAATATGTCATTTACTAAGATATTTTATCACAATTATATTAAATAATAATAAATAATTTAAAAATTCAATTGACGTCAAGTTATTTTTAGGGAATCTTACCGAAATGTTCCAATTAAGTCTAAACTTACCAAACTTTAACCATTAATTATAGATTTAGTGAAATTAGCCAAGCACATATAAAAATTGAATACCCAAATAAATAAGGATCCTTTCTCTCCAAGAATCACACGCAAAGATCTCATTCCATATTTTGAAGCATGATCAACAATATTAGATGCGAGAAGGAAATGAAATTTTAGGAATGAGGTAGCAAACAAGGTGATTATATATATATATATATATATATATATACACGCGCACACAAGATTCCAAAAATCTAAGCAAAAGGGGACTTTTTCAATGGGTATGGTTGAAATTTATTAAAAACATATAGATGAGTCAATATACAAAATTTTAGGAAGATTGGAGGCGATTTGGTATCAACATCCGTAGTTAAAATCGAGTTCAAAAAATACTCCTGCGACATATGTATCAAACATGTATCACGCATGTATCTCACACACAAATATACATGAACATATATATAATACACATTTGATATAAATATGATACAAATGTGATATACATACCATCTTTTTTCATGTTCATCTTGTACTTCGTATTTTCAATTCAAACTAACTCAAAACTCTACCAAATCATACAAAACTGAGATTTAAACTGCTTAAGATATATTCAATCTATTCCAACAATACCCACTTTAAAAAAAATAAAAATTTGGCCGTTTTATTTTTTACAAATTGGCTAATAGTATAAATAATATTTATAAATTGACTAATTTTTGTAAGTATTTACTTTTTGGACTGACATAAGTAAATTCACTGTCCAAAAACAACCCAAGAGAGATATATACATATCATCCGAGCAGTCTTCTTCATAGTTCTATACTCAAAACTGAAAACATCGAGTCATCCACAATGTACAGGTTCATCAAATCATCTACGAAATTCAAATTATTATGTCGTTCAAAAACCCTCTATAGATCAGCACAGTCTCCATATTCACCCAATTCAATTTTGGGTAAAGAAGATTCAAGCTTTATCCATAAGTCAAAGTTAGAATCTTGGAATCAAAGTTCGGTTAGGAGTTACAGTAGGAGTAGTAGTAGTGAATCGGATAGTAGAGAAGCAATTAATTACGATGTGGTGATAGTTGGAGGTGGACCTGCTGGCTTATCAGCTGCTATTAAGCTCAAACAGTTGTGCCAACAAAAGGACGCTGACTTATCTGTGTGTGTTGTTGAGAAAGGAGCTGAACTGGGTACGTTAATTTATATATTTATATTCTAAATAAAAATGAAATTATGGTTGTTAATTTGATTTTGATTGGATTGGACAGGTGCTCATATCTTGTCAGGAAACGTATTTGAGCCCCGGGCACTGGATGAACTCTTTCCCCNTCAGACCCGCATAGTTTGGTGAGATAAAACAAACTTCTTTTGAAAAACAAGACTCTTTTTCCTTTGGCAAACAAAACCATTTTTCATAAACAAAACTCTTTTTTTTCCTTTTTCAAAAATTCGGCAGAGTTTCGACACTATTTGGACGTTGATTTTTTTTTTTTT